CCCTGGATCATAAAAAAGACTGAATAGCTCTATAAACTCAATCTTAGAACTAACTTTGCAATGTTATCTGCAAATTTGTGTAATCCAAAAAAATTAAATGGTCTTTGGGCATTATCAACCATCAGCCCTGAGGAGCCAAAAAGATTATGATAAATTTCCCCTTTACCATATGTTACATTTAAATAATTATTTAAATCTTTTCCTCTGCAATTCCAACCTCTCCCAAAGTGATTCAAAGAAGGAGTTTCATTTGTTATGAAGCATTTTTTAAAATCTCTAAACAATAAAATTAAGACATTAATTTAACTTCATAAGACTTTTCCCTTAAATGTATATATATATATATATATATATATATATATATATATATATATATCTCACATATATTCACTTAAAGTCATCAGAGTAGGGGATTATTACTTTCTCTATGAACTTTAACCTCAGTGTGCACCATTTCTAATCTAAAATTTTCTCCATTCTATTTAGATTGGCCCAAACTCCCTAGCTAAAAATTAACAAGAAGTTATATCCAAACGTGCCAATGGTCCACACGCAGCCATCTGTGAAATTATTGATTTGGATGAAAAACACAACTGGACCTAAAGGAATTTTTTTTAATTTATGAGGGAGGAGAAATAGCCACTGAATTTTTGACAATGTTTAATTTCAATATTTAACACTGGGGTCCGTAGAGTTTGATTGGTTGGTTGGTTTAGTACTTTCAGTTTTTACTATCTTATATGAAAACTAAAAAGAGTATTATATTTCTGCTTTCTATTCTATATCAATAACTTCTCCTAATGCAGGTTATTTGTATTGAGAAATTGTCTTTCACAGAATGAACTTAACCAAAAACAGAAACCTATGACAGGTCAACGAAATTTAAAAGTTGAGTCATGTTATATTTAATCCTTAAATTACATCATACTTATAGGCTAGCTAACCAGAAACCCAACCAGAACTTTCTATTCTCCTAATATATGAAAATCAAATTTTAGATTAGAACCACAGATTTTAATGGTTTACTAGCCTCAAGATCATCTCAGTAACTTCATGGCCAAAAAAATAACCATTAATGAAGAAGAAAAAGTGAAAGTCAAAATGTTTTCTTTATGAAACATTACATATATAAAGTACATTTATTCTAGGTATATATTTTATATTCTTTAAGATATCTCAAAATTCCTATGTAGAATCTTAGATTTCTTAGCATTTTTACACAATATCCTCAATTCTAAAAGCATCATTTCTTTCAAAGCAAAATTAAGTTAGTTGTCTCCAACCAGTCTTTGTTTAAATTTTTGGCAATAGCAAAATATATAGGACAAAAGTTGAGAGAACAAAATAAAGGTGAAGAAAAAAGTGGGAAAAGGCACAAAGTGATATGAAAATATTCAGAAAACACTGAGTACCCAGCAGTACAGGAAGACTATAAGGCACCCTCCCTTCTATGGAAGAAGTTAAGTACCATGTTGAATTAGGAACAATAATGAAGCCAGAGTATTATAACATATTATAAAATAATCAGATGTACAACACAGGAAATGGGAAGAAAGAGATGGCCATGAACTAGACTAATGGTGAGAAATCTCATGAAGGAGATGACATTTAAGCTTGAGTTTGAAGCTCAGGTAGAATGATTTGAATAAGCCAGCGAAAGGGAAAAAAGGCACGCCTCACCAAGAGCAACAAAGGTCCTAAATGGAACAAAGCATAATGTCTTGGTCCAGAGCGAAAAGAAAGGTCTGCTTATAATTAAAGGTTTTTTTTAAGGAAATGCTAACATTTTCCCTTGGATCACAGATTATAATTATTTATTATCATCATATATATTTTAATACTTAATATTAGTATTATCCATATTTTATGGGACAATAAACTGAGACACAGAAAGGCTGAGTGTCTTGCTCAAGGCCAAGTAATCACCTCCTGAGGAGAATGCAGCACTCCTTCCACTCTACCACCCTTACCGCAGGGGCATGAGGTTGGACGAGCGAGCAACATTATAGAAAAGACTTAATCCATCCACAGAGGCTTGAGAATGCTGGTGAAGTGATGACAATACTTTTTTAAGAACATTACTAATCATGCCACAGTGAACAGGATAGAACTTAATTGACATAGTGATGAGCCAAAAAAAAAAAATACTTCAGAAGCTGGTGAAGTAATCCTGAGAGAAGTGGTGAAAGCCGGATTAGGGGTTTGCAGTGATATTAGAGAAAGAAAGAAATACATCAGATATGGCCAAAGCAACAAAAAATGGTGACTTGGTGGGTGCAGGAAAAAAAGAATGAAGTCAGAAATTAAAGTATCATCCAGTGAAAAACGGATGGTGTAGTTCATTACATAGCAGTCAGACTCAACAGCTTCCCCTGGCCCTTACTCTCCTGCAAAGCCATGTTTTCCTCCTCACTGGCCATTTTCCAACTTCCAACTCTATCCTTTCATTCATTCATATTTTGCAGGCTGACTGTGGATTGGACAGTGGTCAGACTCTAAGAAACAGAGATTACAGTAAAAGTAATAATGAGAACAAAACCATTTATTAAGCTCTTATTCTATGTATGACAACCACTGTTTTAAATGTTTTATATTAATTAACTCATTTGATCCCCAGTATAACTCTATAGGCTAAGCAAAAGTTATTATTCCTACTTTGGAGAGAAGGAGGACATAGAATCCATCAAGTGTACACCTCCTTTCCCTGCCTGTCTCCTTTCACCAGATTGATGGAATGCCATTCTGCATTCCCTCAGCCCCCTACCCATGCCTCAGATGTAGCCTAGATGACTCTGTATTATTATCCCTGATTCATATGTATGTTTGTTTGCCTCTCCAGGTTGACTATGAACTCCTCAAGGAGCAAGAACTATATCTTAGTCACCTATGTAAACCCAGGTCAAATTGCATGTGCTCAATAAAACCTGTTGAAGGAATGAATACATTAATGAATATGAACAATCTGTTCCAGCCAAACTGGTCCATTTGGAGTCTCTACCAGCTTGGCATATTCACAGTCCCCACTTCCCAGAACAGTTCTCTCAATTATGTTGCACACATTGAAAAACCCCACTTATCCTTCCCAACGCTCAGCTTAAATTCCACCTGCACCATGAAATTTTGTCAGGTGGCCCTATTCTAACATGCCTCCTTTCTCATTAGTCTTAGGGTGCCAGTTCAACATCATAAAAGCTACCATCTTTGCACCTCTACCACCTGGTTCAAAACCAGGCTCTAACATAAACTAGCTGAGCTACTCTAGGCAAATTCCTGAAACTTTCTAAAACTTAGCTTTTTCCAGCTATAAAATGAGGTAAAAAAAAATAGATATCTTAGAGAATCTGGGGGAGGATTTAAGAAATGTAAACCATCTAAACACAGCAAATATTCAGAAAATAACTCCTTCTCTCCACACCTCCAAACCCTGAAGTCTTTTACCATTTACACAGCTCTTAAGGTGACACTATATTTCATTTCTCTTCAATTAGACTGTAATGACTGATAAGATAACCTTAAGATCAGGGGGCTGAATCTCACTACTTTTTCTTTCAAACATCTATCAATGTGATTACCACAGAGAAAAATAAAATTAAGAATTACAAAGTAACAGTTATAGTGGATTATGGGAATCAGTGCAAATTGTGCTAAAACTAGAATCATAAGTTTTCATCCAATTTAGCTGTAGAATTATCACATGGAACTTCAGTAATTTCATTCATGCCAAAGAATTCAACAAGTGACAGTGCAAATAAAGGCAAATAAATTTCTAAAGTATACAAGTTAATGAGTAATTTCTGGTTCATTAAAGGTAGTTTTAAACTAAATGTTACAGTATTAGAAGGCCCACCATACCTGTATTTGTTCACAGGTACTTTTATGAAAAGGTTTCATTTCACATATTCTTAGGCTTAATATGATTATAACAGAAACCCTTCATGCCACTTTTAACTGAAATATTCATTTTTTCCTACTGGGTGGGGAAAATTATATGCTAAACTAGGGCAAAACTGGCAAGAGCCAGAATTTTTAGTAATTGCCAGTGAAATAATCAAAATCTATCTTTAACTAAACTTTTTCTTTCCAAATAGCTTTCATTAGTCTCAAGGCTTCATCATCCTCTGAACCTGCTGGAATCTTTTTTATCCCCTATCCTGATTTATCATAGCCTTCCTTTATTGTATATTATCTTGATCAAGAATCAAATTCCCATGGTAAGTTTTCTTTCTTTTTTTTTTCTTTTAACTGCTGCCCTAGTTGCATGTACCAACAAGTTGGAGGAGTTGCAATTTGTTGGGTAGTAATCTCCACTCTAACAATCAACTCTTCATTAATGCTCTCAACCACATTCCCTTTCCCTGCAGAAACTATTTCTTTAGATCATAAACTTGAAGATACAGCTATAAATTTAATTTAAAAAGGCAATTCTCAATATAATAATGAGTGCCAAATCCCTAATCTTTCAATATCTTCAAGCTTCTCAAGTTATTCCTGTTTTATTTTGTTTCCATGGGGAGAAGTTCATGGTAAGAATTAGAGACATTCAGTTCTATCAGACCAAATACACCACAACTGAGAATACATATACACATTGATATACTAAGAAAGTCAAAGTCAAGGAACCAAACTTATAATCAGTTCAACCATCTATTACATGCCTTTAGGAAAAAAATCATCACCTCTCTCAGCTTTAGCTTCCTGAGATACAAATTACAGATGATAACCACCATCTCTATCCTCAGCAGTTTGTTCCAGAGTATTTTACATTATAGTATCACAAAAAGCATTACAAAATTTCATATCATGCATTAATAAAGTTTCAATTAAATACTTCACTAGACAAACTGTTATACCAGATTCTGTAAACAGTACACCTAAGAAAATGTTTTGTTTATTAAGAAACATACAACTATAGTTCATAACTTTTTAAGCAAGTACTCTTTACCATGGATATATATTTTTGCAAGCAAATATTTACTTGTAAACTACCATATCTAAATTCTCTTTTTCTGGTCAATCAAAACTTATTGTAAGGTACTAGAAATTAGTATTGAGATTAGATTTTTTGGTTCTTGTGCTAAGAATTTCTGTATGCTAGTCTTCATTAAAAAAATTTAATTATGAGGAATTTAGAAACAAAATAACCCAGGATTATGTCATATTTCAGATTTTTTTTGGCTATCATACTCGTGGTTATAGTTTATTGTAAGGCAAGGACACGGAGGGTTCCAAATGTCTCAGGATATGGTACCTTCTCAGTGTTGATATATATGACTATATAGAGAGAGTATTGCCAACCAAGCAAGTTGACCCAAGTCTCCATGTGCAGAAATTTTATTAGGGCTGCATTAGATAAGCATGACTGATTGATTGCCTACCTAGTAGAAACTCAGCCCCAGGTTGGCAGATACATGATACAAATTTCCCACTCTGAAATCACTTGATTGGCATTTCTGGTGTGACCAGTTTCTACCCTACATATTTCAGATTTTTTAATGTTAAAAACAATGAAATCATTAAATTTTAAATTTCTCAATCAATATTTACTTCCAATATTTTAGACAAAATATTAATATATGGGCTGGGGTTGTGGCTCAGTGGTAGAGTGCTCGCCTAGCACATGCAAGGCCCTGGGTTTGATTCTCAGCACCACATACAAATAAATAAAGTAAAGGTATTATATCCATGTACAATTAAAAAAATTTAAAAATATATATTAATATATTTTCACTCTCCAAATAAAAGATTCCCTAACAAACACACATACATATAGTTTCCTAAATTGTGCTTTTTAGGCTTTTACTTCTTATATGCAGCAACTCTTGGATGCTAATTAAATTATTTCCATATGTTTTTATTTTCTTTTTGGTTGGTTAAAGGTTTTTACAAGATATTCTTACTATAGCATGATTCTGGTAGTCTTCATGCTACTTGTTGTTCCAATTAATTAAAACAGTTTAAAGCATAAATTATTTAAATCTTATTTTAACCATAATTTTGTAGCTAAATTTTTTTCCCCAAAACTTTGCAAACATTCTGTGCAAACTTAATTAATGCTGAGGAAAAAGGATTTTAATAGTTGCCCAATGTTCTTCAAAAGACAAAAAGAATAATGAAACATGCTCATCTGAACTCCACCCATTTTTCAATTTCAACATAGTAAATCTCCTGTTTTTTCTTAGGGCATATTCAAAAGCATACATATTGGTATTGGTTATTACTGAAGATAATTTACGCAATCATAAGTCAAAGATGCTAAGTTGACAAAAAGAAAACCATGCAAGTAAGCAAACCCTAACATCTGAGAGGCACACCCTCTCAGTATATAAAGGCTTGCCACTGTCCTTGGTAGCAGGCACTCCCTGAGCTCAACAGCATCAACATGTCTGTTCGATACAGCTCAAGCAAGCAGTACTCTTCCTCCCGCAGTGGAGGGGAGGAGGTGGAGGAGGATCATCCCTCAGAATTTCAAGCAGCAAAGGCTCCCTTGGTGGAGGATATAGCTCAGGGGGCTTCAGTGGTGGCTCTTTTAGCCGTGGGAGCTCTGGTGGAGGCTGTTTTGGGGGCTCTTCAGATGGCTTTGGAGGAATAGGAGGAGGTTATGGTGGAGGTAGCTTTGGTGGAGGCTTCGGAAGCAGCAGCTTTGGTGGGGGCTATGGAAGTGGGGGCTATGGAGGAGGCAGCTTTGGAGGTGGCAGTTTCGGTGGGGGCAGCTTTGGTGGAGGTGGCTATGGAGGAGGCTTTGGTGGTGGATTTGGAGGAGATGGTGGCCTTCTCTCTGGAAATGAAAAAGTAACCATGCAGAATCTGAATGACCGGCTGGCTTCCTACCTTGACAAAGTTCGGGCTCTGGAAGAATCAAACTATGAGCTGGAAGGTAAAATCAAGGAGTGGTATGAAAAGCATGGCAACTCAAGCCAGTGGGAGCCTCGGGACTACAGCAAATACTACCAAACCATTGAAGAACTGAAAAATCAGGTAAGGAGCATTTTAAAATCCAACTTTAAATTTAATTCTATCCCTGTAATATGGGTAGATGAATCTTAAATTAAGTATAATATAGCTGTTCACTGTGATTTTCTTGCTTCCAAATAAATCCAGTCTCATCAAGGATAAATTGAATGAAGGTATGGTCATGGCAATCTTCATCCAGCATGTGTTTTGTCTGTCTTACATGATGCAGATTAACAAGAAATTTTAGATTTTAATGAACATATAATGAGCCCACAGTTAAATATGCCAGATCATTTAAAAATGTAAGAGCTGAAAAATATTAAATGAATAAGAACAAAAATATTATTAAGACTGATAACAAATAAGCCATATTCAATAGCAACATTGCAAAATCCATGAAGTCTCCTTTATGGAATTGGGATATTGCTTAACTCCAGGGAATCTGTGAATTGTACCTACCAGTTCAGAGTATATCTATTTAGAAATATTTATAGCAAATGGAACAAATACAGGGGTGAGCCAGTCAAAAGTTGGTTGAAATACATAAAAATCACTAAGTATAAAAGAGGCTAATACATTAATAGGATTACATATAGTTAGTTTTCAGAAAGGGATGACACAGAAATAGAATAGTGTAGAAACTTCAAGATAGGTTTTTAAATTTAAGTTTGTGGGTAAGCTTAAAATATTTTATATTTAAAAATAATCCACACAAAAAGTTTTTGGAAGAGAACAACATAAAAATGCAGCTTATCTATGCCACTATAAAAGCCATATTTGCATCTGACCTTTTCTTAAATGACTGTTCCTCCTGATCCTCAACCTAACAACGGACAACGCCAACGTCCTGCTTCAGATTGACAATGCCAGGCTGGCAGCTGATGACTTCAGAATGAAGTAAGCTAATTGAATGTGCAATACTATCAATACAAATACATCAATTGTTTATAATAGTGACTTTAGATGCCATAGTAGCATTTACATTTTCCTGAATTCATTCAAAGTGACAGAACTGGAATTATCTGAGAAAGTTTCAATTTCAGAATTACCTTCCTGGTAAGCTTTAAAGGAAGAAAATGCATTTAAAGTAATTGCTAATCTTCCTATGTGAGTTAGTATATGGTAAATATTACAAGGACATGAAATCAACTCTAAATTTTTTAAAGTCTTTTTCCACATACAACTCCTTCTTAAGAATTGTATCCAATATATGTATCATGCTTGTTGCAGGTATGAGAATGAGGTAACCCTGCGACAAAGCGTGGAGGCCGACATCAACGGCCTGCACAGGGTGCTGGACGAGCTGACCCTCACCAAGGCTGATCTGGAGATGCAGATCGAGAGCCTGACTGAAGAGCTGCAGTACCTGAAGAAGAACCATGAAGAGGTGATACAAAATTATATTTCCCCCAATTTTTCAAAAGGTTCATTGTGGTCATGGTGCAGTCATTAAATCTTTTTTTGTTCCTCAAACAGGAAATGAGAGACCTTCAGAACGTATCTACTGGTGACGTGAATGTGGAAATGAATGCTGCCCCAGGTGTTGATCTGACTGAACTTCTGAATAACATGAGAAGCCAATATGAGCAACTTGCTGAAAAGAACAGAAAGGATGCTGAAGCCTGGTTCAATGAAAAGGTAAGTCAACCACCCTTCACAGTGAAGCCCATGTAAGTTCTGTTGTCATGTCCGAGGTTTCTCATATTTTCCCGTTTTTATAATTCCAGAGCAAGGAACTGACTGCAGAAATCGATAACATTGAACAAATGTCCAGCCACAAATCCGAAATTACTGAATTGAGACGCACGGTTCAAGGTCTAGAGATTGAACTACAGTCCCAACTGGCCCTGGTATGTTAAGTCTTGAGACATGACTTCCATTTTATCATAGAAACACAGAGCTGAGGATAAGAAAGCAGAAATAAAACTGGAACTCTATGCTAATGGAGGAAAAGAACTATTAGTATCAGTATGAAGTGCTGAGATTGAAATGTTGCCATTACATAAAACACTAATTTTATTCATTTCCCTTTTTCTCCAGTAGTATCTTATTAAATAATTTGATAAGCTTCAGTATGCCAATTGAACAACGAGGTCATTAAGCAACAACAAAATCCTCTTTTCAGAAACATTCCCTGGAAGCCTCCTTGGCAGAAACGGAAGGTCGCTACTGTGTGCAGCTCTCACAGATTCAGGGCCAGATCACCTCCCTGAAGGAACAGCTGCAACAGATTAGAGCTGAAACCGAGTGCCAGAACGCTGAATACCAACAACTCCTGGATATTAAGATCTGACTGGAGAATGAAATTCAAACCTACCGCAGCCTGCTAGAAGGAGAGGGAAGGTAATTGGAAAACTGGGGAAAAAAAAAAAAATCCCAATTGTTTTCATTCAATATTATGAATAGCAAGGCTTATCCAAACTCCCAAGGAAATGCCAGAGGATGGGAAGAAGGGAGGTGTAAGGAGGAGGCAGGGTACCGAAAAAGGAGTGAATGAATCTCAGGGCTGTGTGTAGTTAAGTTTGTTTTCAACAGTGGGTTTTAAAACACGTGCTTGGCAGTACTGTATTCTCTCAAAACCTTGGCTTATCTACTAAAATAACAATCACCAGAGAGGGAGCCACCGTTTTCCATTGTTAGAAGATCACTGCTTACGACCCTCACCCCTCTTAGTTCCAGAGGCGGATCCTATGGCGGCGGATGCGGCGGGGGAAGTTCTGGCGGTGGCTACAGCGGCGGCAGCTACGGGGGCAGTTCCGGCGGCGGCCACGGCGGTAGCTTCGGTGGCGGCAGCTCCGGTGGAGGTGGTCACGGCGGCAGTTCCGGCGCCGGCGGCGGCGGCAGCTTTGGCGGTGGCAGCTCCGGCGGAGGCCAGAGCGGAAGCGGAGGCTTCAAATCCTCCTCTTCCAGGTCCGCTGGAGAGGTCTCATCTAAGGGACCAAGGTCAGCAGAAAATCTCTGGGGTAATCAGAATTAGTTTTAACTCTACGTGATGGTTTTAGTGCTTCTTAAGCTCTAGGGCTGTTTTTAAAAATGAAAATCTTAGGGTTTTCATTTGCATTTTTTAACGAAACGCACTTTTGACACCAATATTGAAGGAAAAGTGGCATGGTCTAAATGCCACCCACAGGGTAAACATTGATTGGATTATTTTTAATGTGAAAATTTGAATTTTCCTTTCTTAAAAAGTGCAATATCGTTTTTCCTTTTGAATATTTGCATGTTTATTAGCAAGGATACCTACAAATTGCTTAACCTAAATTCTAGTTTGTTTATTATTATTCACAGATACTAACAAAACCAGAGTAATCAAGACAATTATTGAAGAAGTGACACCTGATGGTAGTGTTCTTTCATCTATGGTTGAATCAGAAACCAAGAAGCACTACTAATAAGTAGCATCAAGACGAAAGAGTCTCCCTTCGCACAGGCCATTATATAACAGATGCATGGCAAAATGTTCAACACTTCTGTCTTACTGGTCTGTGGAAACAGGTTCACTCCTTGAAAATAAGGTGTCTAAAAGGTGTTTTGTGATTTCTGTAGTTCTTCTTTTCACTTTGCCAGAAAGTGTTTTTTCATGGAAAAAGAAAAAAGAAAACCTTTCTGTTCTCATTTACTAATGAATTTCAATAAACTTTCTTGCTGATGCAAACTATCTGAATTTGTCAGAGTTTTTCTTTACTTAATCTTGTGGGTATGCTCAGACCAAATTAATCAATCTCACTGAATAAAAAGGTTCAGAAATCCCCAGTCTTATACTTTCTTAAAGATATGCATTATGTAGTAAGCTCCCATCTCTCTTGGCTTTAAACTATTTCAGTCCTGGAAGTTTAAAATATTTCAAATAAGACCCAAAAAAATAAAAATGGAAATTCCACATTTTCTGGTTGTCTACTCACATTTGCCTGCCCTTATTCCTATATTACTTCATTCCAATTGCTATATTGCTTAAAAGATACTTTCCAAACTTAACCAGCCCAGTAAAATATCAAGGCCGGCAAAATTACTTGGTGTCTATCAGATGATGCCAGTGTGATCAAAGGGGCAACTCTAGGTCTCTGCTTTCCACAATCCTCCCCAGGGATCAGTACTAAAGACCTGGTATTTTCAGGGTTAGCCCAGTGCCATCCCTTAGCCAATAATAACCCAGCCGGCTTTACTTAGTACTCTGCTAGGTAATACTATAAGGGGAAGAAAAGAGGCTAGAGTTAATATGTCCCCCTAAAACTACTTGTGTTCCCTGGTGGTCTCCTGGATTACCCATGCCCACCAAACAGCAACCTTCCTCAATACCTTTGAGTTGAGCTCCAGTTTCTCCCAGGATTGGAACCCTGGTTAGCATGACATTTGGGATTCCCTCTACATTATACACTACCCTCAAATCAATTACAAGAGCCATATTTCAATATGAATGGACTTCTTTACAGTCCAGGCTCCATAACCAACTTGATACCAAGTGTTACCACATCTGAGAAGCTCTCCACTGTAGTTCACTACCTCTTTATATGTGGACATTTGTACCAGCTTCTCTTATTAGAAGATAGTCCCCCATTGAAGACCCAACATGCCTCATTGTGAAGCCCTGAAACAGGTATTGCTGGGTGAGGACTGAGTTCCTACTGTGTGTAATAGTGCTGGAGTGGCTGCTGTTCAGAAACACGATCTTTGAAACTATTGTCTAATAAAGTTAACCAAATCCCTGGGATGGATTGCATTGTTCATAATGTGAGATGAGCATTGTCCTTATCCTGCAGAAATAAAAGTTTTCATATCCAATAACATTGATTCAAGACAAGTTATCATGAGACAGTTGTCCTTGGTATTAAGCTTTGTCTCTGTCCATTCTTCCCTCCTTACTCCAGCCAGGATCTTGGCTGGTTAGAATTCTTTATCTAGTTGAGTGGCAACCCAAACCTTCATTCCTGAAAAGCCTCAATACATAGTGATCTTCATACCTTTTCAATCCTCCAATACCTCATTAAACATTTATATTAAATTATCTCAGATACAGTAAGTACCTGATAAAGAATTACTCTCTTGACTGATACTGTGGTACAATGGTTGAATAAATATAATCTGTCAAAAATAATTTTGACAAGAACATTGGTATTTGTGAAAAATAAATTTTTTAAATTATTAAATAGCACATAACACTATTTTTACCACATAGCTTTGTCTTGTAGCTATTTTTTTAAAGTCCTGTACATATTTTTACAGATACTAAAATTGTTGTAGAATCCTGCTAAGCAGTTCACAGTGAAACTGGCAGAGTCAACTTGTCACCCATGTGAAATTATACTGCATAGTAAAAAGCTTGTTTCTCCCAAATATTCTCTAATGCTGCTAAAGACCTTAACATTTTGCACACTGGCCTTGATATTTATGATGACTTGATATTTTGCTTGATAATAGAGAATATCTTTGTTAGTATCGCCTTTATCAGGGAGGTAGCTTGATTAAGATTAAATAAAGGTACATCCAGTATACCCCATCTGGAGTGCATCTTGACAGTAGAAATTGGGGAAAGTGCCTTCTCATGGTTATAAACACCAATTTTCAAGTCAGTGATCCCTGGGTTTCATATCCTGGCATTACATTTACATATTATGTTAACATAGAGAAGTTACTTCTGAACCTTATTTTTTTTTTTTTAATCTGTACAATAAAAACAAAACAATAGCCTCCTCCCCACACTTATCCAAGGGAAGTACATTGCAAGACTTTCAGTGAATGCCTGCTAGTACAGAACTCCATACTGTGTTTTTTTTCTATACACACATACCTATAATAAATTTTCACCTTTACAACTTCTCTTCAGTGTATCCAAATTTCCAGCATCACTAGTATTGCACTTTGGGGCCATTATTAAGTAACATAAGGATTTGAGGAACACAACCCCTGCAATACCACAACAGTCAATTTGATAAGTGAGCTTCTAAGTGACTAATGGATGGGTTGTGTATACAGCAATTCTCACCCCAGAAGGAATAGCACAAGATTTCATCACACTACTCAGAACATTACACAATTTAAAAGTTGTAAATTATTTATTTCTGACATTTACCATTTAATATTTTTGGACCTCACTTCACTGTGGGTAACTGAAACCATGCAAAGCAAAACCACATATGATGAGAAACTACTGTAAACCACAAGCTGAAAATTCAAAAGCATTAAGCTAAGTCAAAGGAGCCAGACTCAAAGGCTAATGTGCTGCATCTCGTTTATATGATATTCTTAAATAAGTCAAGCTGGAAAATTAGGAAACAGACCAGAGGTTGCCAGAGGTTGTTCACCACAAAGGGGTACAAGGGAACTTCTCAAAATTATGGAAATGTTCTCCACCTTGTTTCTGGTGGCTACAATACAACTGAATGTGTCGAAGTTAATTGAATTATACATTTGCTATAAAGTTCACAGGGGTTTTAAACCTCAATAACCTTTCCTTTTTAAAAAGTGAAAATAAACAAATTGTGACTGAACATTTCATTTTTCAGTGTGTTAAATGTTGTCGATTTCTACTCTATTTTTAGCTCTAAAAACAAAGCTTATACTCTAACAACTGGAAAGTATGGAATGTCCTTATAACAAGGAATATGGCACAAATAATTTCCATTATAATACATTTTAATGACCATGCTTTGTGAGTCATACTCTTATTAATCTAAAGAGCCTAGGAATTAAGTAAAGCTGAACCATAGACTGTCTATAATCACATCAGCTTATACCTGCAAGGCTGGTATGAGAAAGAAAAGATAAAAGAGTCATAACATACATACAATCTTTAAAATTCTTCCCCCTGCTTCTTCTGGTATCTTGTTATCAAAGTCAGTTTGGGGGTGTGGATGAGTCATATTTGGATAACTAGGTTGTTTCTGTTGGGAAGAGATACAGGGAGCTGGTAGGTAATTGCTACTTGATAGGCAGCCAAGAGAAACAGGCTCACAGCAACGTCTCCTCTCTGATGTATCCTCGCCCTTCCAAGCTCCATGTCACCTCCCTCTTGAGGTCTTTTTTTTCTTCTATAAGAAGTTTATCTTCCAAATTGCCTTTTTAGAAAAGAATGAAATAACGTTCTCCCTGCTGCCCATCACTCATTCCTTTTCACCTCCTTCTCCCCAAACCTGTCCATTGTCTTTCTGCCTTCTTAAAATAACTCCAGTTATTGATCTAAAGGAACCTAATGTCTACCCCAGACTTTAGCTCACAGTGCACACCATTTATTGGTTGGTTGAGCATTCATTTAGCAGCATCAGGCACTGTGCCAGGTAATGGGGATAAAATAGTGACCTCAAAGAGCCCATAAATAGCAGAAATAGCCACTCAGAGGGCAGAACGCACTACACAGAATTAATCCCAGGTTGCTATGGTAGCTTTAAAATGCAATATTTCCTATACAATTGAGATCATCCCTAGCAACCTATGCCCTCTGAAATGTCCACAGGGGGTCTACATTCAGATTCAAACCAAACTTTCAATCTTCTCATTTCTGGTGGGAAGAGATTCAGGGAGCTAGTAGGTAATTGCTCTTTTTTTCTTTTCATCTACTGTCTTAGTAGAACTGATTATCTTCTCCAAAATTGGTGACAAAGACCAAGATGTCCCATCTTGGTAGGGACAACATGCATGACATTTATTTATTTGTGGAAACTATGTTGAGATGGAAGAAATGAAATAATCACAATGGAATTTCTACTTCATTCTAATTAAGGGAAAGGTATTCACATAGCTACAAGACTCCAATGATCATAAATACTGTTTAGAATCATTTATATGTATATGTATATAATTATTCTTTATGTGTAGGATACTGTATTATATGATGAGGACACACCAAAGTAAGGAAGTCTTTGCTTCTGTTATCAAATGATACAGAGAACAATGACACTCTGATAATTGTAAACATCTACCTGTACATACAAAGTGCTTATCTCTGTATGTAGAAATCATCTTCAGCACCACCTTGGGACCTATGCAGAGCTCAGAAATACTAAATGACTTGCACAAAGCTTCACACACAGCAAATGGCAGACTTACATCCTGAACCCAGGATCTCTGATTTTTGAGCCTAGAGCTCCTTCTTATAGAGCACAGATTTCTAGACATTTTCTATTACAGACTCCTAGTCAATAAAAATATTCTGATCTGCCCAATGAGTATATTACTTACCTTAAACGATACATAAATGCATGCCTTCATATATGTGCTGTACTGTAGCTCGATGTACAACATATATTAGTGCAAACACAGTGAAAATTTTGGTCACAGCCATGCAGACAGAATTCCTTGCAATTTGGCGTTATAAACTGGAACTAGTTTCCAGACAGGTCATTATAAATAAGATTTTCACTTCAATGAATGTCCCATGGGAGATTCAAAAGTCATGTGGAACACAGGACAAGTCCTTGTGTCAGACTGTATAGTGAATTTCTGGATAGCTGGCATTCTTGCCCCCTGCCCAACCACATGCCAGGAATGATCCTATCACTGTGATGACCACACACACACACACACACACACACACCGTTCCCTAGAGGACTGTCTCCCTTCACTGAGACTGAGAACTAAGCTTTCATTCCTTGCACATGAAGAGTACCTGTAGGAAAAAAAAACTTGTCAGCATATGTTCCCCAGGAACTCTTTGGGAAGTCCTTC